CACAGCCCATGGGCCATTCCTGGTGAGGAGGAACCGCTCTCACTCAGCCCATGAGCATCACACAGGGCTGTGCTCCCTCTGCACGGGCTGGGCAGCTCCTCCGGCCCCGGGTGAGTGCGGCTGCGTTCCTCACGAGGGTAGCAACATCTTCCAGGGTCAGTTTTTGTCCTCATGTTTGAGCTTAGCATAGGCTGAACAAGGCTAGAAAATTTCTGGAAAGAAAACAGAGGAAACTTGTACAAAAGGCTTTGCATAGATGTCTTGGCACAGCTGCAGAAAGTTGTGGGAGCGTTTTCTCTGCAGCCAGCAGGCCTTTGTTATGAGGCCGGTGTGCTTTCCAGAGAGCAGCATTTCGGTAGGGAGAGCTCTCTTTGTGCCACTTCACCCAAAATTCATCCCCTGCCTGCAGGATCCCCAGCCCTGGGCTGAGCTTTGGCCTGCACACACAGGGAGGATGTGTCTGGCTGAACTGGAAAGGCCACAGGAACGTTTTCATGTGCCCAAATCTGTGCCTATGTTTAGTGCATTTACACACAAGTGCACATTGCAGATTGGTTTCCAGGTCCCAGTCAATCCCCTGGCTCTCACTATGTAAAACTGAGCATTGCACTGAATTACAGAAATTGATTCATTGAGGTTTATTTTGTCTAAGATTTATCATGAAAGGAATACCTGTTAATATTACATGTAATTTTGCTTGTAGGCAAGGCTTAATCCTTTCCTGGAAAGGTTTACAATCTCAGAGCATGACTTTTGATTGAGTTCATATTCCCGTGCAGGACCTGTCACTGTGAGTCAGGATTGAGGGTGCATGGAGAATGAGATGAATAACACAGCAATTATGCTGCAGTTTCATTAGACCAATAACTGGAGATTCAGAAAATTCATTTAACCCTGAAAACTAAAAGTAGGGAAGCTGTAAAGAAAGGCAGGGCATTTGCTCAGGTTTCTTGGTCTCCTCCCACGCCCATGCCAGAAGACCCTACTTGTGAGAAGGAGGATTCCCAAATGAATTCCTTCCAGAAAGTGCTTCAGGCTGTGAAGCAGCTAAAGCACAAATACCCAAGTCATGAAATAGCAGTGTCTGAAGACCTAAAACATGATGACAGCCAACATATTAAGGATTTTTTTTTTATTTCCTAGAGGGAATGAGAGCTTCAACACTTCGTCTTTCTCACTTTGCTAAGCCTGAAGAAGTCAGGGGTGGGGCACCTGTGGAATCGTAGGGCTGAGGGGACCTGGGGGACCTGGTGGCATCAAGGGGCTGCAGCTCCTTTGCCAGGCCATGGGTGTAGGGGCTGGGACTCATCCTCCCTCCCTCCTTCCCTCCCTTCCTCTCTGCACTCCGGGGAGCACAGGCAGCGTTTCCTACAGGCTGTGTTTGGGTATCAGAGGGGACAAGGGCTGGGAAACTCTGCCCAAGGCTTCTGAATCTCATTGTACCCTCTGCTCCCCAAGGGCAGCAGCAGCAGGGCTCCAGCACCCCAGCCCTGGGCACCCACAGCCCTGGGCACCCCACAGCCCCGGGCACCCACAGCCCTGAGCACCCACAGCCCTGGGCACCCACAGCCCCGGGCACCCACAGCCCTGGGCACCCACAGCCCTGAGCACCCACAGCCCTGGGCACCCACAGCCCTGAGTACCCACAGTCCTGGGCACCCACAGCCCTGAGCACCCACAGCCCTGGGCACCCACAGCCCCGGGCACCCACAGCCCCGGGCACCCCACAGTCCCGGGCACCCACAGCCCAGTGCTCCCCAGGCTGCCCTGGGCACCCACAGCCCCGGGCACCCACAGCCCTGAGCACCCACAGCCCAGTGCTCCCCAGGCTGCCCTGGGAACCCACAGCCCCGGGCACCCACAGCCCCGGGCACCCACAGCCCCGGGCACCCACAGCCCAGTGCTCCCCGGGCTGCCCTGGCCCCTGGCACTGCTGACCCCAGCCCGGGCACTCAGCCCTGGTGTGCTGCCAGGCATTCCAGGCTGTTCCCAGCCCTGTTTGTGCTGGGAGTGTGCTGCTGTTGGGGCTGCAGCAGCAATGGAGCTCCAGGGACCCATTGCCACCCTGCAGGCCACCATGGCCGCCCTCACCCTCCTCTAGAACTCCCTTCCCTCTCTCAGCTCCCCCAAAGCTGCCCCCCTGCCTGGTTCAGGTGTGGGCAGAGCTGCTGGACATTCCCCTTGCCCCCACACCACCATGGGCTGTGCCCCTGTGACCACCTGTGCCAGGCTCTGCCTCCCGGCTCCTGTGACAGCTGCCATGGGGCAGAGGGGCACAGAGTGACCTTCCCTGCTCCCCGGCTCCTGTGACAGCTGCCGTGGGGCAGAGGGGCACAGAGTGACCTTCCCTGCTCCCCGGCTCCTGTGGCAGCTGCCATGGGCAGAGGGGCACAGAGTGACCTTCCCTGCTCCCCGGCTCCTGTGGCAGCTGCCATGGGCAGAGGGGCACAGAGTGACCTTCCCTGCTCCCCGGCTCCTGTGGCAGCTGCCGTGGGGCAGAGGGGGGCACAGAGTGACCTTCCCTGCTCCCCGGCTCCTGTGGCAGCTGCCATGGGGCAGAGGGGCACAGAGTGACCTTCCCTGCTCCCCGGCTCCTGTGGCAGCTGCCGTGGGGCAGAGGGGGGCACAGAGTGACCTTCCCTGCTCCCCGGCTCCTGTGGCAGCTGCCATGGGGCAGAGGGGGGCACAGAGTGACCTTCCCTGCTCCCCGGCTCCTGTGACAGCTGCCATGGGCAGAGGGGCACAGAGTGACCTTCCCTGCTCCTGTGCCCCGGGACAAGGACACCCCTGGGCCGTGCCCCGAGCCTGCTGTGTGCCCTCGGAGGAGCTCAGAGCCCTCTCCCCGTGCCCTCACAGCCTCGTGCTTGGGGCAGGAGCAGCAGAGTGCTTGGGGTGTGCTGGGTGTGAGCCATGGGGCCACGTTCACCCCAAAGCAGAGGCAGCTTCACAGATGGTTCCTCGGGTCCTGGCTCTGCCCGTGGTAGCTGGACCTGCCAGCAGCTCTGGGACTGCAAGGGGGGAGAAGTTTAATGATGTTCCTGCCCTCAACCCCCCTGAACTGGCTCTGTAGGTCAGCAAGTGTTCCTGCCCACACAGACAGGGCTCCCTCTCCACTCACATCCATCTTGTGTTCATGAGGGCTATAAATACATCTTGCATTCTATACAAATCAGGCATGCACTGAAAATATTTATACATTGCATCCACTCACACAGTCCTCTGGATTCCAGCCCTGACAACAGCAAAAGCTATCATTACTCCATTGCGTGGAGGGGAGAAAATTCTAGTGTGGAAGCAGTTTGTCTTTTAGGGAGTTTGAGGAAATTTCAGTTGTGCAGAGACTGCAGCTCTGGCAGCTGAGCTGGGCTCTTTAAGGAAATGTCCTCCAAAAGAAGGCAAGGTTTATTGGGTTTTGTGCTGTTGCACTTTTAGACTGTTCCAAATTCTCCCAGGAATCCTTTTAATATTCCCATAAAATTGAAATGTGAGTTATGCAATTATAATTAGAGCACCATACTCCTGATAACATTCACTTCAAGTCTTTTAGGCTGTTTACTTCCTAACTTGTACCTAGAAAAAATCTTAAAACCCCAAAACGAAGAGTTGCCCTCTCCCCTGTCACAGCACAGACCAAAACAAATAGCCAATTGCTCTGAACTTATTAAACCAGTTTTCATGAGCTGTTTCAATAGAGCTGCTGCTGCTGTAACCACAGCGGGGCAGGAGGGCTCAGCACGGGGCTTTTCCACCTGAAAGAGTCAGTGGCACCCTCAGGGCAAGAGCAGCTGAGAGCCATCAGGACATGGGACATTATCTTTTCCTTCTGTAAAAGCAGGACACGTGAAATTTGGCAAGGGCTGGATGCATCAAGTCCCCTTATATGTCAGCTGCCTTCCCTGGGTAAGTCACAGATGTTTTGTAAATGAAAAACCTACCCTCCATGCCCAGGTTGGCAAAGACCTGCTTGGTCCCTTTGCCCAAGGAACAAGCAGCAGAACAAGAGGGAACCCCTGAAGTTTAAAGCCACCAGGCAGGTTTAAGTTGGATATTAGGGAAAATTGCTGTCCGGAAAGGCCAAGCACAGGCTGCCCAGGGAAGCAGTGGAGTCACCGTTCCTGGGGGGATTTAAAAGCCCTGTGGATGTGGCACCTGGGGACACGGTTTGGTGGTGGCACTGGCAGTGCTGGTTGGAACAGTTGGACTCGATGGTCTCAGAGAGTTTTTTCAGATTGAATGACCTCGCTGTACCTCATTGACCCTTCTGGGGCACATGGCCTTGTCAGGTAGGGGCTGGTGGCTCCTTGAAAGAGGGGTTTGTGGCATTGAGTCCTGATGTCTCAGGTAGCTCAGTGAAAGACAAGCGATTAATGCTGAGGCAGACTGTTCTCTTCCAGTCCAGTTTCATTTTGAAAGTAGAAATTACACAGTTTAGGCCTTTTTATGCTGTGGTTTGACAGCTGTTAGAGCCCAATAAAAGCATTACCATGTAATTTCCCTTTTGCTTCCCTTTGATTTTAGCACTCTTGGGCCTAGTGCTACTACATTATATTATGAGGCAGCAATATCTGTGGTGTAAGCCACAGAATTTAAATTCTGCGGACTACTGGGGAGCACGGATTCTATTTTATTCTAGAGGAGCTCACGTATGTGAGCAGCAGAGATGATGGCACTGCATATGATGAGCCCTTTGGACTTCATCTCAGCATTTGGGTGTCTGATGCATTCGGGGCAGCTCTGAGGCAGCTGCCATCCCTCCGGGGGCAGGGAGAGGTGGGCAGGGCCGGACTCTGGCACCGCGGGCAGGCGGGCTCGCTGCGGCTCTGCTCTGCCCGTGCGGCTCTGCTCTGCTCCTCCTGTCCCTGCTCTGCCCCTCCTGTCCCTGCTCTGCCTCTCCTGTGTCTGCTCTGCCCGTGCGGCTCTGCTGTGCCCCTGCTGTGTCTGCTTTGTGCCCCTCCTGTGTCTGCTCTGCCCCTCCTGTCCCTGCTCTGCATCCCGCCCAGTACAGCGCATCCCGCCCAGGGCACTGCATCCCGCCCGGGTCAGCGCATCCCGCCCGGGTCAGCACATCCCGCCCGGGTCAGCGCATCCCGCCCGGGACAGCACATCCCGCCCGGGACAGCACATCCCGCCCGGGACAGCGCATCCCGCCCAGGGCACTGCATCCCGCCCGGGTCAGCGCATGCCGCCCGGGTCAGCACATCCCGCCCGGGTCAGCGCATCCCGCCCGGGACAGCACATCCCGCCCGGGTCAGCGCATCCCGCCCGGGACAGCACATCCCGCCCGGGACAGCGCATCCCGCCCGGGTCAGCACATCCCGCCCGGGTCAGCGCATCCCGCCCGGGACAGCACATCCCTCCCGAGGCACTGCATCCCGCCCGGGACAGCGCATCCCGCCCGAGGCACTGCATCCCGCTCGGGACAGCGCATCCCGCCCGGGACAGCACATCCCGCCCGAGGCACTGCATCCCGCTCGGGACAGCACATCCCGCCCGGGGCACTGCATCCCGCCCGGGACAGCACATCCCGCCCGGGTCAGCGCATCCCGCCCGGGGCAGCACATCCCGCCCAGGGCACTGCATCCCGCCCGGGTCAGCGCATCCCGCCCGGGACAGCACATCCCGCCCGAGTCAGCGCATCCCGCCCGGGACAGCACATCCCGCCCGAGGCACTGCATCCCGCCCGGGACAGCGCATCCCGCCCGGGGCACTGCATCCCGCCCGAGGCACTGCATCCCGCCCGGGACAGCACATCCCGCCCGGGGCACTGCATCCCGCCCGGGACAGCGCATCCCGCCCGGGACAGCACATCCCTCCCGAGGCACTGCATCCCGCCCGGGACAGCGCATCCCGCCCGGGACAGCGCATCCCGCCCGAGGCACTGCATCCCGCCCGGGACAGCGCATCCCGCCCGGGACAGCGCATCCCGCCCGGGACAGCGCATCCCGCCCGAGGCACTGCATCCCGCCCGGGACAGCGCATCCCGCCCGGGACAGCACATCCCGCCCGAGGCACTGCATCCCGCCCGAGGCACTGCATCCCGCCCGGGACAGCACATCCCGCCCGAGGCACTGCATCCCGCCCGGGACAGCGCATCCCGCCCGGGACAGCACATCCCGCCCGGGACAGCACATCCCGCCCGAGGCACTGCATCCCGCCCGGGACAGCACATCCCGCCCGGGACAGCACATCCCGCCCGAGGCACTGCATCCCGCCCGGGACAGCACATCCCGCCCGGGTCAGCGCATCCCGCCCGGGACAGCGCATCCCGCCCAGGGCACTGCATCCCGCCCGGGACAGCACATCCCGCCCGGGTCAGCGCATCCCGCCCGGGACAGCACATCCCGCCCGAGGCACTGCATCCCGCCCGGGACAGCACATCCCGCCCGAGGCACTGCATCCCGCTCGGGACAGCGCACCCTCCCGGCTCGCCCTGGGCGCTCGGCGCCGCCCGCACAGCGGAGCCTCCTTCCCCTGCCCCTGCGCCCACCGGGCCGGCCAGGTTTGCCCCGTGCCCCGGAACAGGAGCTGTCCCTTGCCCAAGGCTCCCTTGGTGCCACAAACTCTGCCCAAGCCCTCCTCTGCAGAGGATCCCGCGCTGCACTGCTCATCCTCAGAGCACCCTGGCCAACAGTCCAACTGTGATTTTAAAGTCAAAATGTTTAATTACCCTAATTACACTGAGGTTTTAAAATAATGTTTATCCCAAATACTTCTGTCCTCACTTCACACGTCCTCAGAAGTCTCAAATTTATCTTTGCCAATAGCTGCAATATTTAATGAAACAGCCTCTCAATTGTAAACGGAATATGAACAGAATGTGAGGGGACAATATAACCGTCAGAGCTCAAAGCCCCCGGTAGCCAAACTGAGCCTGAGCTGTGCCAGAGCCCCCATCCCCGTCCCCAGCTCCTGCCCTTCTCCAGCCAGCCAGGAGCAGCAGATAAATGTGTTCTTAACCTTTGCAAGCAAGTGGGAGCTCTGGGGCCGATATTTGCACTTCAAAGCTGGAGCCAATGCCATCCTCAGTGGACAGAATAGAGGAGCAGTGTGACACTTTGGCACATAAATACTTTTGAAATCGTGCAATATGAAATGAAATTATCGTTAACATTCTGCGAGCTTGCGCAAAGCTGATATTATTATTCTCAGTGATGTTATTAAAGCTCAGACAGCATGTGTCACCCAAAGCTAACAAAGTCCTGCTCCAAATACTTCAGGAGAGCGAGGCAGATTTCGGCTGACTGCAGAGAGCAAGTGGAGCCCCAGCCAAGGTCACGGGACATGCTGACAGTCCCGTCACCAAGGGATGGAAGAGCTTCACCGGGCACCCCTGCTGGGAAAGAAGCCACCCTGCCTTTTCTCCAGGGCTGACAGTTTGGCTTTCAGTGCAGGACCAGTCTCCTGAGGAACCCAAAAAAGGAGACTGACAGTGGACATTAAAATCTAATGAAGTTAGAAAAGCAAGGGGACAGACAGTTTAACAAGGAGCCATTTCTGGTGGTTACTAGATAAGATTTAAAAAAATTGTTTCATCCTGACTTGACCTAAATGGAGTGGAAAATTACCATGACTACATTTATCTGAAATCATAAAGTGTGTTCTGATTAGAGCATGATAAAAAGGATGGTATAAATTGATCCAAAGATAAAGAAAGGGCAGGGGAAATGAGATTAAGAAAAGAAGCAGACGCTAAAAAGGCAGGATAATACAGCAAGTCTCTGAAGCTCTATTAAAAATAGCTGTAGGAACTGGAACATAAATAGTTTGGTGCTTCACTTTCTGTGGGTTGGGCTGCAGCCCAGCCCTGTACTGGGGAGCCCGAGTTATCACCTCGTTAATGCCGAGCCCTTCAGCCAAACGAGAGGCAGCTCTAAACGCAGGAGCCGCCGTGCCCAGGGACTGAGCCTGGGCTGGAGAGCACTGTCTGTCCGTCCGTCTGCTGGAGTGCTGTCCATCTGTCTGGAGAGGTGTCCATCTGTCCATTCAGAGCCGTGTCCACCTGCAGGTGCCTGGGGTCCCTCCTGGCTGCGCTCATCTCTGCAGGACCTCCTGCCTCCTCTCCGCAGTGAAACCTGTGGCTGGCTGGTTAATATGCTTCAGTCCCTATCAAATTACACAGAAATTGGTCAAAAGACTAGAAAACTAGTGTAGTGGGTCTGGAAAACAAACCAAGCCAGGAAGAGCCTTTGGCTGAACTTTCCTTCCTAGAGAGACAGCACTTGCCTCTGGCAGAAACCTTCATGGTCATGGGAGCAAATTTACCTCTGACAAATGCTGTGTTTCAATTTCCTAGGAACAAGCTGTAAAATGTGAAATAAACAAATATTGGTTTTGCCCCTGCCTGGCTGCATAACTGGCTGTCTGGGGGCTTGGTGTGTGCCACTGCCTCGGCACGGAGCAGGGAGGAAAGCACCAGCCACAAGGGCAGAGCTGGGGCACAGCCTGCACTGCAGGGGCTCTGTGGGCTGGTGGGATGGGGCACAGCCTGGCCTCCCCTGGCTGAGTGCCCCCAGAGAGCCCCGACCCACGCTCCCCAGCAGCACCCAGTCCTGCCGTGAGCAGCAGTGTGAGCTGAGAGCAGCAGTGTGAGCTGAGACCAGCAGTGTGTGCTGAGACCAGCAGTGTGTGCTGAGAGCAGCAGTGTGAGCTTGAGAGCAGCAGTGTGAGCTGAGCAGCAGTGTGAGCTGAGAGCAGCGGTGTGAGCTGAGCAGCAGTGTGAGCTGAGAGCAGCGGTGTGAGCTGAGCAGCAGTGTGAGCTGAGAGCAGCAGTGTGAGCTGAGAGCAGCGGTGTGTGCTGAGAGCAGCAGTGTGAGCTGAGAGCAGCAGTGTGAGCTGAGAGCAGCGGTGTGAGCTGAGCAGCAGTGTGTGCTGAGAGCAGCGGTGTGAGCTGAGAGCAGCAGTGTGAGCTGAGAGCAGCGGTGTGTGCTGAGAGCAGCGGTGTGAGCTGAGAGCAGCGGTGTGTGTTGAGAGCAGCGGTGTGAGCTGAGAGCAGCAGTGTGTGCTGAGAGCAGCGGTGTGAGCTGAGAGCAGCGGTGTGAGCTGAGAGCAGCGGTGTGAGCTGAGAGCAGCGGTGTGTGCTGAGAGCAGCAGTGTGTGCTGAGAGCAGCAGTGTGTGCTGAGAGCAGCAGTGTGAGCTGAGAGCAGCGGTGTGAGCTGAGAGCAGCAGCGTGTGCTGAGAGCAGCGGTGTGAGCTGAGAGCAGCAGTGTGAGCTGAGAGCAGCGGTGTGTGCTGAGAGCAGCGGTGTGAGCTGAGAGCAGCAGTGTGAGCTGAGAGCAGCGGTGTGAGCTGAGAGCAGCGGTGTGAGCTGAGAGCAGCAGTGTGAGCTGAGCAGCAGTGTGAGCTGAGAGCAGCGGTGTGAGCTGAGAGCAGCGGTGTGTGCTGAGAGCAGCAGTGTGAGCTGAGAGCAGCAGTGTGAGCTGAGAGCAGCAGTGTGTGCTGAGAGCAGCAGTGTGCTGAGAGCAGCAGCGTGCTCCATGGGCCAGCTGCTCCTCCACCCCCAGGTGCCCACCCAGCCGAGGAGAGAAGCCCTGAGACTGGCAGGAAGCTGTCCTGAGATAATCTCTCCCAAAACCCATCCTTGATGGTCCAGAAGTGCTGCTGCTGCTGCTGCTGCTACTCGATACCTGTGGCTTAGGAATGGATGAAGGGCTGACACCACCTTCCTTTTTAGCTGTTTTTTATCTTCTGCCTAATGACTGGAATGTCCAGCCTCTCTCTCTGCAGAAAATGAAAGCTATTTATTTACCTAATCCCCGATGAATCTGATCTCAATCCGCTTTTTCTGAATGCGGCACTGAAATCCCCAGCATCCTGTGCCCCCAGCAAAGAGCTCCCTCCTGGACCTTCCCTGGATAGCCAAGCATGGCTGGCTCATTTAGATGAGGCTCAGCAAAAAGCCTGTTTGGAAAACTGCTTCTCTTTGCATTTGCATAAACTTCCTTTTCCACTCTCTGTTTACGTTAGCATGGACAAATGTGAGTCTTCCACCAGATCTCCTCCAAGGAGAAAGCCAAGGCAGAGAGTGAGAGGAAGCCCCATTCCCCCCATGCTGCTGCTGTCCCCTCCGTGGCCCTGTGAGCTGGCCCAGCACCACAGGCGGACGCTTTCCTACAGGACTCCAGGAGCAGCTCGGGGTTTTCTTCCTGTGTGAGACACATCCTGGTATCCATGTCTGTCCTTGCTGTCCTTGACAGTGCCGCAAGTCCATGGCAACATTAAAGTTCTCTCACTGGTGAGCTTTCTGCAGGGTAATTAACCAGTCACAGACAATTTAATATACCTAGATTTGTTTTAATTAATGTCCAGCTACTCAGCTGTTCCAAAGGGTGTCTGCGCTCTCCCCTCTCCAGCTGTGAATATTCCATCCTTGAAAACAGGACTGACACAGCTGATGAGGAGGGATGGTGAGGGGGTCAGAGGCCAGGGCCAAAGCTGACACTACCGCCCCGTGCTGCCATCAGCTTCTTCCTGCCTTGTTCTCCTCCAGCAGGAAGGTTTGGGAATGACGTTTTGAGCGCTGGGTGGTGTCCCTGGGGACTATCAGCCCTCTGCTTCCAAAGCCTCGCAGGATCCTCTTTATTTGCTGGATTTAGGAGGATTCAGGATGAGGGCTCACTTGGTCCTTACACAGGTGCCAACTAAACAAGGCAGATATTTTGTGGTGCTATGGGAGCAAATTTGTCTTTGCTGATTAGCAGCAGAAAGAAACCTGGGAAGATGGCAATAAAGCTGAGTCTGGGTCCTAAGTTCAATGTGATGAAAAAGAGCTCTGTGCCATGCCTGGGAGGTGATCCCAGGCAGGCAGAGGATGCCCAGCTCCCAGCAGCTTGGCAAAGGAATCAGCCCTTGCTGGGGAAACTCACTCCCTTGGGAACTAGTGGATCCAAGACCAATAGAGATGGCAAAAACAACATCCAGCTATTCTGCGGTCTCATCTGTGCTGAAGTCTATTTTCATTCATGTGAGTCTGCCATTGCTGCCATGGTGACCAACTTAGAAATTAATTATATAAGGACGTTAACAACATATTTAAATAGGAACATTCAACCCACGGTTCTGGCAAAAAGATCCACGTATTCCTAGGTTGTGCCCTCCCACCTTCCCCTGGGTCCTCTGATACACCATTACCTCTCCGCTGATGTTAACAAATATAACCAGTCTTCTGCACTTCTAATTCTTTTTTTAAACTCTGAATTATATAAATTAGATATTCTTTGAACAATTCTGTCCAAACCCGTGTTGCTGTGAGCACCAACACTACCTCATGTAGTACACGAGGTGTGGGGTTTGAAATCCTGGCTTCAACAAAGGAAGCCCCAGAGAGGTGCCCTCAGAGCATGGGCTTGCTGAGACACACACTGGGCTCCTGCCTTTGTTTCTTTGGGTTTTCCACAGGAGACAGGTCACAAAATGTACCACCAGAGCCAAAAGCTCATCCATGGCTGGGGCGGGGAAGAGAACCTTACAGAGAGTGCCTTACTCCTCAGCCAAGTGGTCAGCCCCCTTTCCCAGAGGGAGGCAGCAGTTCAGCCTTGCTCGTTCTCCTCTGGTGACTGTTCTCTGAGCAATGAGGCTTTTCAGGGCCTGAGGAGACCCCTCCACACCTGCTGTGGCCATGCTCTGCTGCTTTCCCTGGTGTGCCCTTCCCCAGCATGCTTTCACCTGTGCCTGATGGTGCCCGCTGTGCCCCTCCGTCACACACAGCCTTTGATGTCGGTGCTGTCATGGAGGTAATTCTTGTGCTCTTTTCTGCAACTATTTACCATTGACTCATGTTGTTTCTTTTTCCTGTGTGTTTTTAAATGCACGAACATATATCTACCCTTATCCCATTCCTTTCTGTTCAGCTTTGTGCTCTCTCAGGGGGTGGGGACAAGCAAGAGGGGAGTGACCTGCACCTGAGTGTCAGGGAATCTGGCTTTTCAGGGCATGCAGTGAAGTGAACGCAAACCAAACTGTGCTGCAGGGAAGTGTGCCTGTTGGCAGGGATTTGTGAGGGAAGGACTCACCCCTGGGATGCAGCCTGAGCTTTCCCACTGTACAAGCTCATTTGTGTTGGCACTCTCAGGGCTGGTTTACGTGCCTCTGCACCCAGCCACTGCTCAGCTGCTGGAGTCTTTTCCTTCAGTGAGCTACTGGGAAAGAGGCCTAAAAAAGCTTTGCAGAGATGCCTGCATTAATTCTGCTGGAAGAGACACTAAACAGAGTGGAGTGACAGATGCCTTTCCCCAGAGAAGTGCTGGTGATTGGTGGAGCCATGGCTGGTGTCTGGGTGCTGTGGCTCCGTCAGAGACAGCCAGCCTTCCCACCATGTGTTGTTCAGGAACTCATTTCAGAGTAACCACACAGTTCAGGGACCGATTTTCAGAGTAATCAGCCTGTGCAAACAGGAAATAACAAAAGAAACAAACAAAAACCGATATCAAGAGCACTAAATATGCTTACAGAAAGAAGGTGACTTCTCCATAGATGGAGTTTGCTGGACCAGCTGGAATGGTGCCTGCTGAATTTCACACACAGACAGCACTTTTCAAGAGATGTGCTAAAACTGCTGGAAGGTAGCAAATTCTCACAGATGTTTATTCTCAAGTACCTGTGTAAAGGTTTAATCTGCTCTCCCAACACAGCCTGCCTGGGAGAGGAACATAGTGAAGGGAGGGAAACTAAAGGGGAGGGGAGATCAGTGCATCTTTCAGGTGGATGTCATCCCAGGTGCTGCTCTGAACTTACAAGCGGAAATGATTCACCTCTCAAATCACTAACGTGTCTCGATTATGAAATCTCCTTTAATGATCAGCTGGTTCAAGAAAGAGCAAGGCCTAATCCCAACTCATCAGACAGGGTTTTACATTTCCTGGTGTGCCTGAAGCTATTGGAAGAGAGGCCTGACGTAGGTGACAGGAGGAAGCATCAATCTTGTCCCTTTGGAGCAGAGATCCTGTGAGGATGGGGAGCACAGGGTGACCTGTAAGGGCTGAGTGTAAGCATCTTTTCAGCTTTTTGGTGAGAAACAGTTGGGTTCTGAAGATAGCAAGAGTTTGATGGACAGAAAGACTAGGATTCAGCAAGCCAAATCCATCGTGTCTCTGATTTGGTGGCTTTAGGGAACATATAAAACAGGAAGAGGGCAAAATGAATGTACAAAAGATGAGCACAGAGCAGCATTAAAGAAATATGAACTATTGCCCTGAAAAAGTAAAAGCCTGAAACGCAACTCAGCTCCAAGCTGGTTCTTGGACTTCCTGGGGGAGGTGGATATTCCAAATCCACTGTGGCCTGAGGAGGGGGAGTATCCCCACCGGTGCGTCGTGCCGGAGCCCTGTTGGGTGGGCGCCACTGGCAGGGCAGGGGCAGCCCCTGAGCTCCACGGTGGGGGCAGATGGCAGAATGTTTCCCATCTGCTTTCCCAATGGTGAAGCCTCGGGCCAGCGCAGGAGGGGGCTGCTCTCGGCATCCTGAGCCATGGTCCCACACCTGGGGCCAGCAGTGTGAACGGCTCTTCACCTTGGGAAAACGTCGTCCCTCTGTGGAGGGAGCGGAACAGCTCGCACAGCCTGTGGTGAGACAGAGCAGGGGCGCTGGGGACAGGTTGTGACAGTGATACCCGACAGCTGCTGAGCTCTAAAACAGGGCTGAGGGCAGATCCGTGCTCCTTCAGAGCCCAGCAGCACACTGGCAGCTGCAGGGTGAGCCCTGGCATTGCCCATGGCACCCGAGCAGGGGTGGCACCGTGCCCCCCGGCCTCTGTGGCGCCCTGGCCAGGCTTCTTGCCCTCAGCTGGGGCCTAAAAACAGATCTCAAGTGTTTCATTTGCAAACCTTTAACAAAGATCACGCTGACATGCAAATAGGAGAATGGCAAAACAATACGTGACAGACAGCTTGCTTCTCTTCTTTGGAAAACTCAGATGTTTTCTTGTCACAAAGCTGCTCATTCTTCTTCTTAACATAAACATCGTAATGGGAATAAAATGGTTGTCTTTCATAAAATGCTGTGTGTTGGTGGTTAAGCAAAATTAACATTTTGTAAAGCAAATGAAGGAAAAAGGCAGCTCTCTGACAAATTTTGTCAGCAAAGAAATGGTTGGTTTATGTTCTGAACAAATTAATTTCACTTTTCTTGGATGGTGACCCAGATGCAAAGCTGTGTCCTGGGGCACTCAGAAGGGAAATGGTTAATAAAGTGCCCCACCCCATGGGTGAGCCCAGAGGGAAGGGATGTTTTAGTCATGCTCAAACCTTGTGCCTTCACCCAGCTCCACAGAAGGCAGAAAAACATCCACGCTTCTCTGTACAGCTACTTCTGAGCAACCTGGGCTGTGGAAGGTGTCCCTGCCCATGGCAGGGGGTGGAATGAGTTAATGGCCCTTCAAACCCAAATTCTGAGAATGTGTGATTTATAGAAACCATTAATCCCAAATAAACTACAGTAATTATGTATTATCATCACATCAACAGTGTGACTTTTGTGGGACTCTCAAAATGGCCAAAATTTGTCAGCATCAATTTTAGCTTCAGAGTAACATGTATATTAATGGTGTCCAAGAAACAGAATGGAACGCTGTTTGGTAAAAGAGGAGACAAAATTAATTTGGAATTATTGTCCTCTCTTGCTGGAGATTTTTTCTTTTAAATTGGAAAAGTGCCTATACTGTAGGCCCTGAGCAGCAGTAAGGAATTCCCATTTATCTCCTGTTGAGATAAATGGGAATTACGTTTTTGGCATCTGTTCCAGAGTTGCTCAATGAATTCCATTGCATTTTACAGCAAAGACTGTTCTTCAGCACAAGCCCTTCCTGTTCCAGACCTTGGAGTCGGGAATGTGCAGATTAAGGCATTATTTTGACTACAATCTAAAGACCTTGTGGAAAAGTTGAAAAAATTCCAAGGTGCCGCCAGTGGTTTTTCTGGGGACAAGATTGATATTTGCTGGATTTGCCGTATCCTTTTAACTGCTGCTTCCCTCCTCCTTTCAGTAAATAAATCTGCCTACTAGTTAAACAAACTGGCTCTGATAGAAACCAAACACAAGAAACGCATTAACAATAATCTGCTGTTCTTAAAATAGACCAGCAATAGTGAAGGGAGCCCTTGGGTTCCACTCACAGCTGGGCACCGCCTGCCCAAACGTGGGCTGTGCCAAACCCCAAGGGCTGCAGAGGCTGCTGTGCGCTCCTGGAGGTGTCCTGAGAGCCACGTCACCCTGCCATGCTGCGGGGACAGGGGAGGGCAGTGCCACCTCCTGCACCGTGGGACAGGGGAGGGCAGTGCCACCTCCTGCACCGTGGGACAGGGGAGGGACAGGGTCACCTCCTGCACTGTGGGACAGCGGAGGGCAGTGCCACCTCCTGCACTGTGGGACAGGGGAAGGACAGGGTCACCTCCTGCACCGTGGGACAGGTGAGGGCAGTGCCACCTCCTGCCATGCTGCGGGGACAGGGGAGGGCAGTGCTACCTCCTGCACTGTGGGACAGGGAAGGCAGTGCCACCTCCTGCATGGTGTGACAGGGGAAGGACAGTGCCACCTCCTGCACTGCTGTGACAGTGCCACCTCCTGCATTGATGTGACAGTGCCACCTCCTGCACTGCGGTGACAAGGGAGGGCAGTGCCACCTCCTGCACGGCTCACACCAACCCAACAGCATGAGCAGCAGGAGAGGACCGTGGAGGGCTGGAGCAGACACTAATCTCAGTCAGCCCCAGCGTTCCGTCCCTGTCCCATGAGCTGTGTGACGTGGAAAGCAGACAGGGAGCAGCTGGCACTGCCACCTGGCCACTGACGGCTGGCATGGGATTAATCAGAGAATCACAGATGGGTTTGGGTTGGAAGGGACTTTGAACCTCATCTCATTCCAACCTGCTGTCATGGGCACAGACAGCTTCCACTAGACCAGGCTGCTCCAAGCCCTGTCCAACCTATCCTTGAATGCTGCTCTGGTGAATGTGCCACCATCAGTGTCTTTTCTTAAGAAAAATGAAAGCTTCTTTTTAAAAGTACAGATTATTTGTTACTTGGAAACAAGCAGGAAAGTCTGGCGTGCAGGTTTTGAAATGGGCATCTGCTCAGCAGAGATGATCTTCTGTGTGACACAAGGTGGGGGCACTTGGGGTGGCTTTGCTGTGCGCAGAGGAGGATGTGCCAGCCGGGGCCTTGCTGCCGCCTGCAGAGCAATGTGGCATCAGCCAGACATCCTTTCTAATGCTCCATTCCCTACAGGCAGGAGTAGTAAATTCTGGGAAGCCTTTGGGGCCCCTCCTGCCCTCCCTGCGCTGGGAGCTGCTGTTTGGGCCTGTCTGAGCACCATGCCGCCTGGTCGGTCCCCACCTTCCCAAACCTACTGTTGGCTCCATCAGGATTGCAATAACGTGTTTTGCCCTGATTTTTACTGCATGCTTGGGCTTGCTCTGGAACACCCAGAGGACGCTTGACCTCACTGCGTGCTGTGGCTGCTGTCATGGTGCTCCTTCCACCACCCTCCTGTCTGGGATACAGGGAGCTCCTGGGAATCTCAGCAGTCTCCCGTCAACTGTTTGGGCTGAACGGTCCATTAATATTCCGTGATGTGTAGGAAAAGCGCTGAAGCTCACAAGGACCCGGGGATGCCTCATCCCACTCCTTTCCCAGTATTCGGGTTGGAGCCGGGCTCTCCCCACGCTGGCAGGAGCTCGTTTCTCAGTGGAAGGGCAGCCCCTGGCCCAGGGGCACGGGGACCGGGGCCCAGAGCGGTTCTGGCCTTTTTTGGAAGAGCCGGGCCGGGCCTGGCCGGGCGGGCGCCGCGGCCTCGGCGGCTGAGGGCCGGCTCCCGCGGGCCGCATTCCGTGCTAATTTTAACCCGCTCCCTCGGGGAGGGCCTGCGGAACTACGGCTTGATTTATCGCTCTTCTCCTTCTGAAAACTTTGTTCAAGCGTCTCGGGGCAGAGGTAAAACCAGACTGGGATTCTC